CGTTGTGGACCTGCCTGATGTTCGGGGCCGAATGGACATCTTGAGACATCACATGAAGGAAATCCAGTTTGGTACTGATGTTGATGTCGGAGTCATTGCACGTGGCACCCCGGGCTTCTCCGGTGCTGACCTGGAGAACTTGGTCAACCAAGCTGCAGTCCATGCCAGCCGTGACCGTAAGGCTAATGTCGGGTCGTTTGACTTCGACTGGGCCAAGGATAAGATTATGATGGGTGCTGAGGCTCGCAGTCGTATCATTCAAGACAAGGACAAGCTCCTGACTGCGTACCACGAGGCCGGTCATGCCCTTGTTGCACACTTCTCTCCTTCCTCCACCCCGCTGTACAAGATCACCATTGTTCCCCGTGGTATGGCCCTTGGTATCACCCACTTCTTGCCGGAGATGGATACTGTTTCAAGGAACTACACCGAATACTTGGCAGACATCGCCGTCTCCATGGGTGGCAAGGCTGCCGAAGAGCTAGTTTTCGGCCACGACAATGTCACTAGTGGTATCTCCGCTGTAAGTTTTACTGGTTATATTTTTGTTATTTTGTCGATACTAACGGCCTCATTAGGATATCCAAAGTGCCACCGAGACGGCCTTCACACTGATCACCCGGTTCGGATATTCCAAGAAACTCGGCAACGTCGACCTGTCTACCAACTACGACAGCCTATCATCGGAAACCAAGCAAGAGATCGAAGGTGAAGTGCGCCGGCTTGTGGAAGAGGCCCGCGATCGGGCAACCAACATCTTGACCGAAAAGCGCAAGGAACTAGAGCTTCTGACAAAGGCGCTCATCGAATACGAGACGCTCACAAAGGAGGAGATGGAGCAGATTCTTAAGGGCGAGAAGATCAGCAAATTGAAGTCCTCCCCTACTGCGCCCCTGAAGCTTCCCGAGGCTTTGCAGTCGACCAATCTCAACCCGTCTGCCGCAGCAGGAAGAGCACCCACGGTCAATGAATAAGTTCACTTCTACACATTCTGTAATCTCCCCTTTTCATTTTCATGTCTTATTTTCTTGCTGGCTCTACAGACACACCCGCCTACCTTGTTTTTCGTCTCCATTGTGCATCCCGCCATCATTCGGGCGTCTATTGAAAATACCATCTTTCCTTGGTTCCTCTTCTACATCATGTCTCAGTCAGATCGACTTCTAGTTGACTCTGGTTATCAGTTGGCCGCTTTTCTGTGTGTGTAATACCATTGAAGCTTGGATTGATCTTTGTACATATTCCCTGTACGTTGTACGTGGTATGTCACAATCTATCTATTGATTAATTCGTTGCGAACGTAGTGGGCAACGATGGTCCAATATCAAGAACAGTGTTCCATGGCCATACAATATATATACATGTAACCATGTAACTAACTAGGTACCTACCTAGGTACCTAACTACATATACACCGGATTTTAGGCCGAGCGAGATGGCTTTCCCTTTCCGTTTTAGTGCTTACCCTAGCCGCTTTTGCTCACTGAGTAAAACTGAGCACGCCGCTGAGTATTATATAATGACCCGAATCGCTCACTGAGCGTCACCTGATCATTATATAAGCTGGATGACTCGCTCATGAGTGTCGCCTGATTATTACGAACAGAGCGCCCGCGGGAGCAGCTAAGTCAGCAGCTCACCTCAATAAAATGCACCACGCTAGCCCCAACCAAATGTAGTTGTTCACTAGAACTCTTGACCGTTGTCCCCTCGACGAAGGCTAGCGTTATCAATTTGGCGGTCGGTCCAGCTAGGAGGCAAATTCATAGTAGGGCCATATTGGTTTTATTATTCTATAGCTATACCACTATTCAACTCGCCCGAGTCTTATATCCACGATACCGGAAAATATCCAACCCTCAATTTTTAGTTCTACAATATCTAGGAATATCTCAGAACCCCTAATTAGATAGTTTATCAATCCATTAGTGTTTTATTCTGATTTTTTCCGCTTGACTTTTAACGGATTATCGCTCTTACTACCTACCGTAGACCTGGCTTTGAACCGCCCATAGGTTCCAAATCTCAGAACCTGAACCTAACCTCAAGAGGTTAGGTTCTAAACTTTTTAACCTGAACCTAACCTTAACCTCAAGGAGGGTCATTGAGGTTCAACCTCATGAACCTACATGAACCTGCATATACATAATTTTTCGACGCTTTTCCTCTTTTGGCTGCATAAACTTTTATAGCTGTTTCGTTGATCTGGCGGTATTTATCTGATTACTCTGTCAACGTGGTGAACTATGAAGAAATAATTATTTAGAAGTAAACAGAAGGCACATTCATTAATAAATTACAAGTAATATTCGATGATATCGACGTGGTAGGTGGTCAATAGAGGTCACCAGCGAAATTGCATATAAAGATGCAGATATATATATTCTGAACACTATAGCCTATGTGTATCTTCACCAACAGAACTACAATTTATCAAGAAAACCACTAGGATATAGTTGAAATCCCGTTATTTTTATATCAATTAAATCGTTATACCTCCCTCTATGAATTCGTCTTAGAGGATTCGGGTTAAATTATCTATATATGTCATAAAGCTAGTTTAAAGGTTCTCATTATTGGACTTAGCCAATTTCAACAAGACGGTTTTCCCAACTCGAGGTTAACCTCCAGGTTCTATGCGGGTAAGTCAGGTTAAATTCTAGGTTCTTTACGGATAAATGAGGTTAACTTTCAGGTTCTATGCGGGTAAGTGAGGTTCTCTTCTAAAATGATCCACTATAATAGCCAATCAGATATAGGTCGATAGATACAAAAGACGATAGATCAATTCTAGTGCGTAGAATAGGGTCAAACCGATCCCCCAGGAATATCGCGTATCTTTTCAAAAGAACTAATAAGTGAGTTCCTTATTCTCTTCCTCCTTAACAATTATACCCTCTACTAGCTTGCTAAATCTATTATATCTCAGCCCTCCGGCGCCTACGCGTCGTCTAGCTTCGATACCACGGACAGTTTACCATTCGACGCGCTCCAATACCTTCTCCCTAACGATTCACTATCCCAACGCGAAAGCCAGAGCCAAATACTATCCGAAGGCCAACTTGACTCAGTTCCAGACCTTCCAGACTATCAATCTCGCGTAGTACATCGGGCCCCAAGCACCCTACCGCGAATCAAGCCTAATCGTATTAACGAATTTATTATCTATACACCCGAAATGACAGCGGAATTTGTGAAGTGGTGGCTTGATACTAGCTATGGCAAGTCGAAACGGATCAACTGGGATACAAACCCAACAAATCGTCGAGCAGAGTGCTGGAAAGGGTTCCAACAAGTTGCAAATGCTAAAGATGGTAAGCTAGGCGTTATGTGTAATAAGTGCCGTACAGTTCTTACGCATCCTACTACGAATCATACTAGAACGTCATCGATGCAGAAACATCTTGACGGTCCAAGGTACCGAAAGCAACTACCGAAGAGGGGTACTGGTAGTATCCAACAATTGCTTAGTGACGCGGTATGTTCTCTATAGTCTAAATCCTATATTTATACTAACAATAAATTTACTATCAAATAGGCCGAGAAAAGACCAGCGCCTATCTTTACCCAACAAGTATAGGAGCAGATGCTTCTTAATCTTATCACTACATCGAATTTACCCTTTCTATTCGTCGAGCATCAAAAATTCCGTGATCTCTTTTCCTTCGCACGGCTAGCACCCGAGCCACCTAGCTTTCCATCGAGAAAGGTGATTCGCGAGCGCCTCCGGGGTTTCGTGCTACAACATCAACAAGAGACACTACAATTACTCCCATCTAGAGCAAAGCTATCACTCGCACTTGACTGTTAGACTTCACCATTCCATAACGCGTTTATAGCTATAACAGGATACTTCCTAGACAACGAATAAGAGTATCGCGAGGTCCTCCTTGGTTTCGAGCCACTTTCTAGAACTCATTCTAGCTTAAACCTAGGTAAAGTTGTTCTCCAGATTCTACAGAAGCATAGAATCACAGATCGTATACTAGCGGTAACAACTAATAATACGTCTAATAATAAGACGCTTATGGCCGCGATCAATAATTCAATCCGGGAACTACAACTAAATACGGATTCAACGATCATTCAAGTGCCCTGCCTTGCTCATATTATCCAATTGAGTCTAGTTGAATTACTTGGTAAAATCAAGGCCTCGCCAAAAAATGACAATACTAAATTACAATGGTCTGAGGATCGTGTTCGATCGCTTCGTACGCGCCAGCAGAAGCGAGATATCGCCGATACCCTAAATAAGGTATACTTCTAGTGGATAATATTCTATATATTTGATATACTAACTATTATTATAGGTTCGAGGTCTTACAGTCTTTATTAATAGAAGTCCTCAACGTAAAGAAGGGTTTCTGAAGCTCGAGTCTAATAGGCAAAAGCTTATCCCAATCCAAGACGTCTATACGCGATAGAATTCAACGTTTCTTATACTTCGCCGGGCGAGAAGGCTTCGTACCACATTCGACGAGTACTGTTCTATCTCGTTCTTTAACCAACCCCATTTTGCATTAAGTACAGAGGGGTAGCGGCAAATCGACTATCTACTTCATATTCTCCAGCCCTTTTTCACATACACCACCCTAGTCTACCAGACTAATGACTCGAGTATTCATCTTGTCTTTAGTATTTATAACAGGCTCTTTGATCATCTTGAAAGATCGATACGTCAGCTTCGTCGCAAGAAAGTTGCCTAGAAACAGCTAATGCTTTCCTCCCTTAAGGCTGCAAAAGATAAGCTATCAAAGTACTACGGTCAAACAGATCTTATTAAAGGTGATCTCTATACTATTGGAACGATCCTAGATCCATCTAATAAAATAGAGTTCTTTTCAACAAGTGATTGGGCCCCAGATAACACAGGAAGAGACTATAAAAAGGAATACCGTCGGAGTCTCCAGTCCCTTTTTAAGAAATACCGCCTTCGTATACCATCAAATATATCACCGTCTAATAGTTCATTATTCCCAGCTAAATCAGCGCTCGAGAGGATGATTAAGGGCGATTCCTTACAACGATCAACTAGTAGTCCGCAGCAGGATGAGCTTACTAGGTACCTCCAGAGTAGTAAGTAAGGAAGTCTTCGATATAAAGCATAATACTAATCTTCTTAGCCACTATCAATAAATCCGCTCAGATCTTCTGGAGAAACCATAAGAGGGAGTTCCCTATTCTTACAAGCATTACTCGTGATATGATGTCTATCCCAGCGACTGGTGCCGGTGTTAAGCGTCTTTTTAACTCTGCCCGGGACATTTGCCACTATCGCCGGGGGTCGTTAAGCCCAGAGACTATCCGTGATATCATATTATACATGTGTACAACAAGATTTGATACTAAGGAGGAGCAGCGGCAGATTCTCCAAGAATATCTTTCAGAGCAAGAGATCGCAGCTACGTCCGAAGAGCTTCATATTGAAACACATTGTGCCGAAGCTATCAGTGACACTGAGGAAGATATCGAAATGCACCTTGATACCCCGGCCGTAGCACCACTCTCAGCCGTTGCCGCTGGAAAGCGGCCGGCTATCAATTCTGACGATAAGGAAGACCCTGATACCGATGACATTACGGATCCAGAAGAGACCTCGGAATTACCCTTACCTAATACGCAGCAGCGTGTATCAGGCAGAATGCGGAAGAGGTCGAGACTGTTGGATGGGTATATAGTTTAACAGTTCAAGTCTTAAGAACCCTATATTCTAGATATAATATAGAAAACTGATGTTTGAAATCCCTATCGAAGATAAAGCTACAATATGCAATATTAGACATACAGTGTCCTTCTGTAAGGCTATAAAGTACAAAAATTTTGGTTTACAGTTACAATGCAATACAGCCTGTTTCTATATAATTTATGCAACTGAGCCCGAGTCACGTTTTTTAGCTGTTTGTCATGTTTGTTTAACCTGAGGTTCACCCGCGGGTGAACCTGATGAGGTTCGGTCCTCGGATGGAACCTCCCTCAGGTTCCAAAACCCAGAACCTGACCCGCCCAAATGGAGGTTCAGGTTAGGTTCTTCAGGTTCACCCGCGGGTAAGTGCCAGGTCTAACCTACCGTTTGCTCCTAGGAATACGACTTCAGCTCTAGCGACCTCGACATCCGCAAAAATATGAACCATCGATCATGTCTACTGTATGAGCTAGCCGCCTATAACGCATGACGAAATTTGCGGCCCCTTATTTGCCTAATGTTAGGGAACAAACTGGATTGCAGCAATCTATAGTGCTTCCTATGCCGGGCGGTGATTTTCTTGCCCTCAGAGGGCGGCCCTCCAAATATGATAAACATGGAACTCTGCCTAGGTATTTAGATGCATAAAGTATGCAGATTTCGGCAGTATTATTTAGTATTCTATTTACAGCTTAGTAGTATAAATTGAAAGTATATACCATATAAGTACTACTATGAATATATATTCCATCTAATAGAATTAGGTAGCAATCTTTAAAATTACCAACCACTACTTTTCTTAAAGAGATTGAAAACCTACAACGTCACTATTACATACTATGATTAATTATAAAACTCAATTTCTTAAAATTTCTTAATATTAATAAAGAAATAGATGATAAAAGTAATATTCAAACCTAAACAGTGCTAAATAACAGTAATTTATTAAGATGACTTAGCAGTTTTATACGTCTAAATTGAGAAAGGTCAACTTTTTTAATGCAAATGAGGGCCGCCCTTAGGGTGCCCGCTCTCAAAATGTTTTTAATGAGGTCTACGTCTCCGTGGCCTACCTAAGGTCACCTGACCATCCAACATATTGACGGCCACACTCGATCGTCACTTCTATTCATCATCAATTCTATTGATTTTCTTTCGTTCTCGGAGTTCTTAACTCTTCCCCTCTCACACGAAAATGGATAAACAAACCCAGACCAGGCGTTGCGATGAAGTTAAGCGACTCTACAAGCTACTTAAGAGTTGTGAATCTTGGTTTCTTTCCCCCGGTGATCTCCAAGGCCTCGGAATCTATAGCCAGCAAGTTGGCATGACAGGTGACGGCTCTGTACAATTTGATCCATGTTTCTTTCGGCCTTATCCGGAAAAGGTGCTACAAAAATATCCACTCGATACGGTTTCGATGGCTGCGGACCATCCTCCACAGACTCTTCAACGGCTTAATAACCCCCGGGACTTCCAGACTCTATTACGAGAAGTCCAGAATGACCCTAAGGTCGAACATCCCCTAGAATTCGCTAAATCAAGATGGGATACATTGACACTTTTATATGGGCCGGATGTCTGGGAAGATCATGCCAGACAGACACGTTGGCATATTCAATCCCAGCAGATACTTCCTCGGAGAGGGCTTCCTCGGAGAGGGCTTTCCCCGGGACTCTACTCTTAGCGATCTAAGATCTATCTACGAACGGAGGTTAGTATACTTTGCTTTTTCTCTTTTACTCTACTGTTTTTAGGGACTAAATATACTAGGACGAAATGGAAGCATAGCGCTCCTAAACTATATGGACTTAATAGAAGGAACTATTGGCGTATACTAAGTCTCCGAGAAGTTTTTCAGCCAAGCTTTAACCCACATGCAATTATGGAACTTTTATCCGATGTTCCCGCAAATCATGCAGAGAATTGCCTTACTCTCCAAGAAGTAAGCGCCGTCCTAACCGTGATGGTTGCTCGAACATCCGATCGGCCGTTCCGGGACCACCCGATCCATCCAGTTAGTATCTTACTTACACTTCCTAGCTACTAGAGATTTCCTAAGTACTCACTTATTTTTTATAGTTATTGGTTCTTTCATACACTGGACAGAAACATGGAAGAATAATTCAAGCTTCATTACATGGAGAAAGCTTGCTTTTGCAATATTCTCAGCTATGGAGTTTTGCGGATGACGAAACGGCACCAGTTGAACTTTTCGTTCGTTATGATATGAGCCAGCCAGTTCCGATAGCCTTAGAAGAGCCGAATCCTATTATTGGCTCTCTTGTCGGCCCTGTTACGTCTATGAGCTTGAATTAGCTATTTAATACAGACCCTACCACAAAGTATTTTACCCACCCGCATTTTTACCCCACCATCACAAAATATATGTAAAGGAACGAAGCCAAATTGATTCAATACTGACTAAGTCGATATGCTGTTTACAAAAAAGCTTGGAGAAGGGAAGGAATGAAGCAAGCGAGATAATAATAAGGATGACGGGCAAGGCGGTGGCAGAACGGAAGCGTACGGAGACGGAAGCCTATATGGCAGGGCCATATATGTAGTAGGAAGCGGGTCTAACCCGTTACAGGCAGCTAGACTGCGATATCGCCCGTCTATAGGCACTAGAAAGTGTCCACGGCCCGTGGGCCTTTTGAAATTTGACGCCCATCGCCCACTATTATGCAAAATTAATGCAAAAATTACCCTATTAGGCTATTTTATGTATATAACCAGATCTTGGCAGTACCTACTTTGCTAAGAGTGTCCGCATATGTCTTGGCGACGCTAAAAGTGTCTCCACTTTAACGGGCGTTGTCGTAGTAGCTCTCACTGATACACGCCAAGACTCGCCCCGAACCGAACCGGCTTGCTGGCCCTACGCCCTCGACCCCACCTGCCGCTCCGCTCGCCTGGCTGAGAGAGATCCGATCTACAATGGATCCGAGCCCTACGATCATGGTAAAAACCATCACATCTTAGTCGCCTATAACGCTAACTACTAGGAACTTAAACTTAAACCCGCTCTATCTGATCTCGGTAACCCTATAGGTAGGCTGCGCCAAAACCCAAGCCAATCTATGGGCGCCCATTAGACCTATTAAATCGTAAAAACGTGACGTTCACATGACTATATAATTTATGCATTTCTAGGTGGTTTTTTGGGTATTTTGTATACATATGAAGTATCTGAATATATATATTACCCGCAATTTATAGACTCAGATAATGATTCAGATGATGATTTTATTTCATATATACATTGCACTTCTTTTCAATGATAGGCCCAGTCACTATCATCCTATCTTGTTCGCTTACGAGCTCTCACTGACGTGCGTAACCCGGTGCTTCTAGGATCGGATTCCGGAAGTGGGGCATCAGTGGTATTAACTATGTAGTCAAGCTAGCTAATGAGGGGCTTTGCCACGTGACAAGTCACGTGATGATAACATCATGCCCCCACGAACAAAGGTCTCGTCCCGAGGCCTAAAAATTGCTATGTAATGGTTTTCCTGGAGGTTATGCGGCTTCGGGTTTGTGATGATGGAGCAGTTCGGACAGTGCATGGCGTGTAAAATGTCTTTGACAACTTTCGATCCTGGCTTCGAGGTCCTTGATTGTGTCTGGCAAGCTGTCTTTGCCGTGCATGTATGCCTCATATCTACCGATCTATGCTCGATAGAGATCGTATCTCCGTTTGCTGTTAGGTGAATTGAAGTCGGTAAAGCTGTATTTGATATCCCCGCTAAGCTTTGCCATTGCTTCGATGTCTTGAATGAGTGTGATGGTAGTGGGGTCGAATTCTTTGATGGTATCTAGCTTGATCTGTAAAGCTTCCGAGATCGGTCTGATAGTGTTGGCTTTGGGTATTGTCTCTATATATGCTTCAATGGCAAGTCTCTCGTCGTCATCGTATATGATCTCTATATCGTTATTGGCTGTTTTTTCCTGCTTTTTGATGCGCTTTGGATTGGTTGTGTTGACGTATGGTTTGGCTTTGGCTGCGTTATAGTCGAAGTTAATACTATGTTCGGTGAAGAGTTCGCGCGGAGTGATATGAACGTTTGCTTTACTTGTTGTGTCTGCGTATTCGATGTTGTAATCTTTGAGGTCGATTAGCCTGGTTAGCGTGCTTCTTGTTCTTTTGTTATTGTTACCGAGTAAGATAGCTAGATTATGATGATCGGTGGCGACGATATCGACTGCTGTTTTAAGCTGCTGCTCTATCTTGTAGTCTTTGTTATTCCGGATGGTTCGATGCTGACGTTGTATGGAACGGGGTATGTTGACGAACGAGGCCGATGCGACGACTTTGCCGATTGTGAATGTGGTGTTATGTCTGATGTTTGCGTCGGTTTTGAGGCTTATATTCCCTAGCTTGTCTGCGTGTTGGCGACCGATAAGTGGCGTTCCTCCTCGTACGATAATAATGAATGGCAAGCTATATATATATATTAATGGTGTAGGATCCTCGGGTGTTCGTCTAGCTCGTATGTGGCCGTTTCGGTCAAAGTCGATAGGGTATCTGATTCCCCTTTCTGCTGCCGTTATGTTTTTGGATACTATATAAACGCCTTCGTCGGATAGCTTTACCCCGTTTGGTGGTAGGAACTTTGGAGGGTATTTGATATAAAGTGGCGCGAGAGCTTTGTCGGTTGCTGTAGGGTTTAAATCAATTGGGTCTGGCGTGGTGTTAGATGGGTCCTAGATTGGTCTTTGGGAAAGACCTTTTTCGCTGAGAATGTCGTTTTCTTTTAGTATACGCGCGACGTTCTCCTGTACTCTAGCGTCTATTATTGCTAGAAAAATCTCTTCTTCTCCTTAGCTGTAGGCTAAATCGGTCTGCTCGAGCTTTTTCTGGTTGTCTATGAGCTATGCTTTGCCTCGTTTCTTGGCTATAGTTAAAATGCGAGTGAGAAATGGAAAGGTTGGAAATTGAAAGTGAGAGAATATTGAAATGTGAAGAAAGAGGAAGTTGTGTAACGATGTTTTTAGTTTACGATGCTCTTAGGTTTGATGTGCCGTAAGAATAGGATTTGCCCTGATTTTGTGGTTATTGTTGGTGATTGTCCTGGTCGTATTGGACGAATAGGTCACTATATCCCTCCTCGGTAGAGGGGATCCAGATGTCGCTAGCTGTACCGCGACCTCTGTATCGTACTCTGTATTCTGTTCTCATTGCTCTTATGCCATCGCCGCGCGGTCGGCCGACTGGTCGTGTTCTCTTGTCAACAATCCTTTCTACCGCCTATGGGCTAATAGGTGGTAGTTGAGCTGGTTCGGGTGTGCGTTCCTAAAGATCCTCGCCGGGCGGATCTAGTTCCAGATGCTCCACGCTGATGACAGGGTGGATTGTCCAGCTTGGTGGTAGTTCCAATCGATACGCTAGGCGTCCGACGCGTTCGATGACTTTGAACTTTCCGGCGAAGCGCTGTGCTAACTTTCGGGGTAGGTCTTGATTTGCGTGGATGTTATAACCGTGGCTAAGGCGCAAGTAGATATAGTCCCCTAGAGAGAACCATTTTCTCTAATAAGTTTTATCATAGTAGTTCTTCATTGCCATAGCCGCGTAGCTCAAGCTGCGTTCGGCGTCGAGACGGATTGTGAAATCCTGTTCTGTGGCGAATGCTTGACGTAGCATTTGTGACGGTTGGCGTAGCTCCACGCCGTACATCAGTTTGTGTGGTGAATAGCCGGTGGAGGCATTAGTAGAAGAGTTCAAAGCTGCCTGAAGGAATGGCAAAGCCTCATTCCATCGGAATTCGGGTTTGGTGAATTGTCGTGATTCGGGTTGGGTGGACTGGTCTGTTTCTGTCCGTTTTTGCTGTGCTGCCCAGTGTCTGATCGCAATCTCTACTGTTTGATTTGTTCTTTCAGACTGACCGTCAGCTTGGGGGTGGTAGGCTGTAGTGAAGAATAGATGAACTTGGAGCAGAGTGAAGATGCCATGCCATAGGCCCTTGGTGAACTTTGGATCCCGGTCCGAAATGATGACCACTAGGAACCCCTAGTCTACTGTCCACTAGAATGTTAAGACTGACTTTGACTAGTCTACCCCTTGCTAAGTTGTCTTCCCTAGCACAAATCTATTTTGTTTTGTGAACTTGTCGGTTATCGCTAGGAGAGCATCGAATCCCTCGGGCGTTTTGGGCAAGCCTATAATAAAGTCTATAGTGATCGTATAATAGGGGATCGGTAGGGTTAGAATCGGTTGAAGTAGACTATATAGTCTATACCGCGGAACCCTATTCTCTAAGTATATTGGGCATTTCTAGATTTCTAGATATATCGTTTGAGTAGCTTAGCGCCTTTATAAAAATAAAGGCCCTTTATTCGCTCCTAGCATCTATCGTAACCCTAATGTGCTTACTGATTGTGCACTAAGCTAAAGATTTCTTTTATTATAGACTTCGGCAAATAAAGTGCCTCTGATCTATTATTGTATAGTAGGTACAACAAGTTATTACCGTCTAGTCTATAGGGTAGTCTCATTAGCTCTAGGTCGTCTACGGCTTATTCGTCCCGGAGTATTTAGATCACCTTCGATAGACGAGTGTCCTATTCGTAACCCTATGTGATCTTCCTTTTTATGGTGTCGGAAAGCTCTATGAACACCATTGTCTAGTTGTGATTGCTAACTTACTCGCTTTCTACTACGTCCGCGGGGAAAGCGTCAATGCCCTAGGTGAACGTGTCTAGGTTATTTTCCTTAGTGGGCTTTGTAGGGTTTGAACTCCGGAGACGCGAGAGAGCGTCTGCGACCTTATTGGTGGCGCCTGAGCGATGAAAAACCTTCAAACTGAAAGTTTGAATGAACTGCGCCGCCCTTACGAGTCGTAAATTTTGGTTCTCTGTGGCTGCTGAACGTAGGTTTGTGTTGACTGCAATGTTGACTGTGGCGGCGTGGTCTGTGTATACGATGGCTGGTTTGTCCGTTGGGACTGCTAAAAGAAGATGTCTTATCTTCTGTAGCATCCAGACCAAGCATGCTACCTCTAGCTCGGTTGGCCAATATTTTTGCTCTGCTGCGGACAGTAGTCGGCTCAAAAACATGATTGGTTCCACTACCGTTGCTGGAGGTGGTTTCTTGTGATCGTCATGTTTCCAGCCCGCCTTAACGTGGAAGATCATAGCGCTATGCCCGTGATCCTTTGAGCTATCGATTTCTGCATAAAGCTGCCGGGAGTGATCGAAGAACACAGTCATATGCGTCAAAGCGCGACGCATAGCTGTTTGCAATTCCTCAAAGCTGCGTCTTTCGACGTCTGTGGGATTTTCCAGGTTTGTGTGCTGTGCGAATCTCTTCCTTTGATTCCCTTTTCTTGGACCGAGTTTCAACAATGCAGTTTTCCGGTCATGCATAGCTTTTGCCAGCTGCGCATGCCTCCATATTTTCGTGCGAAAGTAGCCGACTAGCCCAAGGTATGTTTCGAGTTGTTTGAGATTTCTTGGAAAGTCCAAGCTGAGGACTGCATGCAGCTTTTCCTCCATTGTCGTCATCCCGAGAGAGTCCACACGTTGTCCGAGGAGGGTGACTGTGGGGAAAGCAACAAATGTCTTTTTAGGCTCGATGCGGATGTTGTACTCTTGTAGTACACTCAGTAGTATATGCAGGTGCTCGATGTGTTCCTCCAAGCTGTTTGAAGCAATGACGATGTCGTCAATGTACGCCCTGCAGAACTTTCGTAGTCCTCGGAGGATCCCGTCTAGCTGTCGTTGGACGTATGCGATAGAGTTGCAATGTCCCATCATTGCTACTTTTAGGACCTTGTGACCTCTGTGTGTGATGACTCCTAACTTGCCAATGTCGTCTGGATGGACTCTCCACTGGTAGAACCATGCAGCGGCATCCATGACTGTGATAAATCGCTTCCCATGGCAAAGCTGTAAAATGTCATCCTGCGTGGGCACTGGGTACATATCCTTGACAGCTTCTGCATTTGCATCACGGAGGTCCACCACCGGTCGGCCGACTCTGACGGTTTGCCCGTTTTTTATGACATCTCGATAGGCAACAAAGACTGGATATCGTGTCGGTGTGTGCCTCGTGGCCCAATCAAGCTTCCTATCAGCCTTTAGGCCGTCGAAGACCTTGTCGATTAGGTCTTTCTCCTTCTGCCCAGTTGGGTAGACTCTCTTTCGCTTAACGCGCTTTTCCCATCCGTCAAGCATTAGGATCCTCATCCAATCCTCTTAAGGGACATTAGCGAATTCAGGCTTCGACCAGACGTTGTATTTCATGAGTGCGCCCTCAATAGTGTTTACGATAGATTCGTCGCCGTATACTATGATGCCGTTCTCGAGTATTCTTTCTCTGGCGTTTTGGGGTCGTAGTGTCGATTTTTTCACCTCTTACTACTAGTTTGTAGCTAGAGTGGCCGCGTCTAGGTAGACCTGATAAGCTGTAGAGTAGTCGCTCTCTATCAGTGTTCCGAGCCGCTAGTGACGAGCGATAGTCTAGGTGTTAGGCGTTTGATTTGTGATTAGCACGAATGTAAAGTTCGAGTCTACTATATAGGTATATAGCGTGGTCCTTTAGTCCTCGGTAGGGCGGAAGATGAAGTCTCGATCTTTTGGCAAGCCGTACTTCTCTTTAATCTTAATCGGTATATTGATCCTTATATAGGGTGGAATGACCACTTTGTCCTTAGAGAAAACTAGCTTTGTGTCCAATCTATTTGCCTTTGATTGTATGCTGACTAGGAACTCTATATCTTGATATAAAGCAATTTGTGCTATTTTTCGATCGAAATCTAGCTTGAAACCCTCTGGTATAAGGACGTCGGTGCCGATGAGCAGCTTTGCCTTAAGGTTAGGCACTAAATGAGCTTCTATTGTCAACTTAGCGGTTGCTTTAGGCCCTATAAAATAAACATTCAACTTCATCCACTCCTTCGATAGGTACTACGAGCCGATGCCGTTGACTAAGATTGGAGTTTCGAGGCTTTCGATGTACGGGCTAAGCTTCCGGGCGATTTCTACGTCTATAAGCGTTATGACATAGCCCGTATCTAAGCACGCGGTTAGGCACTGATCGCGCGATTCCAATGCAACCGTTGCTATCGCGTATCTCTATATACGGAACGCGTATCCTAGAGTGTGGCTCTTGTTTCGGTTAGATTTATATAGAGGCAAAGCTCCTTTTGCGAAGAAAGCTGGGGCAGTATCGACTGTTGTGCCAGCTGCGACGGACTTACATTCGCATGCTTCTGCATCCAAATGATCGTGTAGTGCGTTTCCTGATTGGAAACTCGCGTTGCAGTTCAGGCATATAACTGCGACTACCGGGAAACAAGTTTGAGCCGTTGGCTCATCGTAACCGCTCCATGACTCCTCATCTTAAGGCTGCTCTTCGGGAGGAACATCATATGGTTCTCCATAGTATACGTCGTCATAGTAGGTATTGCTCTGGTCCTCGTTTTCGTCAAAGAAGTCGGTTTGCTGATCATACTGATAGTGTTGGTTAGGATCGGCCATATAGGCTTGCGGTTTGCTGTTATGATAAAATGGCCTGTCTGCAATTCTCAGCTGATTTTGGTTTCCGGCTTGGAGATGAGGGGGTAGCGGGGGGGGGGCAAGCGCTGTTGTGCTGGATTTTGGCCTACGGTTTGATTCTAGCTCTATGACTGTCCTTGCCATCTCCTCTGCGTCTGATGACGGTTCCATGGCTTTGGCGGTGTTTGATTCTGGCCTTGGTTTGTGTCTTGAACATTAGGTCGCTGATCTCGGTTAGCCTCGAAACGATGACTGGTCCAGTGTTGCGTTCGTTGCATCGGGATTCTCCCACGGGGCTGGGGCTGCGTCCTATTAAGGGTTTGGGGAGGCATACGTGTGTTGAAGCGTTGCTGTCGGGAAACGACTTGATCTTGCCAGTCCAGGAACTTTAGGTCCAAGTAGCCGAGGAAGTCAGTCAAAGTTGTCGTCTCGGTAGGATTCATGATGTCTCTGCGCAAAGACGGTTCAATATTGTCGCGAACTTTGACCAATTGGTCGAAAAGCTCGTCTCGTCCGACAGCGCGCGAGTTTCTCATGATATCCTGCGCGTAATCTCTAGGTTCCTTTCCTACACGCACGTCGTTCCACGTATATCTGGTTGCATCCAACTTCCGGAGGGTTTCTGCCCTTGGCGGTTTCCAACGTTTGATCAGTTAAGGGTACCAGCCTTCCTCAAGGGGCATCCACCGCAGCGAGGCTTTCTCGAAGTCCGTAAGTTCTGTGTCATACTAGTTTATTGCCTTGTTTCTTAGAGAATAACTCATATGGGAGCGCACGACATCTTCGGACTTGAGCTTTGTGATATCACGCATATGATCCACCCATGAGTAAACGTTAGTGTAATAGCTGACGTTGTTCACTGATTTGATAGCGTTGACTGCCTTGCTGTCAGGGTCGAAGCAACCAATCTCCGCTACCTTCCATGATGTATCAGCGGTTATCACTGCTCCGCTGGGTCCCTGGGGTCCTGGGGGTCCGGGTGGCCCGGCGGGACCTGTGTTGGTAGGGCCTGGTGGTCCGGGAGGTCCGGGAGGTCCAGTACCCCTTGCTGGAGCTGCCGCCATGGCCCGTGCTACGGCGCTTTCGACCATGGCTGCTAAGTATTCGCATTGCTCCGGTGAGAAGCCTGCATTGCTCGTGCGCTGACTGTCTGCCATTGTTTCTGTTTCTTGTTCGGATGAGAGCGATTGTGCTCTCCTTCTCGCGAGATGTCTTTGCAGCAAAGGTTGAAACTGCCTTCGACTTTGTCCCTTCTGCGCTCGTGCTCGTGACTGAACGTCGGACTCGTTGGCGATTTGCGAATGTGCGGGTTGCTGCTGAGTTGTATCGTTGTTGTCGGTGGTCTCTGTGGTTACCAATTCGACTGATGCGTGGGTTTCTTGTAGAACTTGAACTCGATTTGCTCCACTGGCGGTGTCTGTCGGCTGGACCACGGTAGTGACGACTTGGGTGGTATCTGCCTCCGTGGGCTGGACCACAGACGTCACAACCTGAGTGGTCTCCTGGGGAGGAACACTTGGAGCAGTTGGCTGAATGCCCGTGGTCACCAACTCTGCGGTGGTCTGTGTAGCGGGAACAACCGGAATCGGAGCTGTGGTCTCCGAAGAGGTGGTCACCACTTGAGTGGTATCTTGTTGAACCTCGGCAGGTACGGTTGTGCGTACCCTTCGCCCGCGTGGCGCCTTCCTGCCGAGTGGCTTTGGAGGCTCGGAATCACTTGGGCGGATCCGCGGGGAGATGAAAGAGGAGGAAGTTAAGAAGTCGACAGTGGCTTAAGCTGCATAACATGTGACTTGCCCGCTTACTAAATACCAAAATACCACGCCAAGTATATCACGAACTTATCAAAGCTTCACGCAAATCCACAATGCTTATCTTGCTTATCTCCGCGGAAAATATCCAAAAAAGATCGAGATTCGGACATTGACCGAATATCTATTTTATCTTCGATGATCGATAACATGAGCTATAAATATTGACATGTTTCTTTTTGCATTCAAGTAACTAGTGTGAAAGCATTGAGTTATTATACCCCTCATAAATTGAAAGATGGCGGCCGCTGAAAGTGGGACACCCTCCAACCCCCCACAAGATGAGACGAAAAATTCCAGCACTGTTGTCAGTGGGGATGTCGAGAAAGTGACAAATTCATACCGTCCAAGCAGATGGCAGAGTAATATCACCATAATCAGTTGTGTGAGTCTGATATTGACAGACTTGAGCTTCACCTACTAACTCTCCCCAGTACATCGCCAATTTTAGCGATGGCTTTCAAAACACCCTCGCCAATCCTACAAATATAATTTTCAAGCAGGTCCTTGGAGCTGATGGATTTTCTTCCGAGATGAAAACTCGCATGAGCAACTCAGTCATCGTCGGAGCGATCCTTGGTGTGGTTGTTTTCGGATACACTTCTGATATGTTTTCACGACGCGCCGGATTGCTCGTCACGTCCTCCCTGGTCGCAATCGGTACCTTAATGGCAGCACTGGCTCTACAGGTGCATCCCTCGAGCAATATGCTGTGGTATTTTGTTGTAGTCCGTGGAATTGCTGGGTTTGGCGTTGGAGGTGAATATCCTCCTAGTGCCGCTGCTGGCATTGAAGAATCGGACTGGGTAAGCATTTAGCCGTTCCCTCACTTTGGATCTATTCTCATGATTGCTTTTAAGATTATGCGCAAATACAGAGGACCGATGTTTGTGTCCTTTACGACTTTAATGGCCACAACCGCGGGCCCAATTTTGATGATAATCTATTTGATCACACTCATTGCCACGGATGACAACCTTGTTATCGCCTTCCACGCCATTTACTCCATTGCCACCCTCCTCCCAGTCTCAATTGTAGTTTTGAGACTGTTCATGGTGGACTCGTCTCTGTTCCACCATTCCAATTTCAAGCGGCAGCCGAAGTCGTGGCGCCTTTGCCTCCTTCTTGCACGGCGTTATTGGTGGAGACTATTGACTACATCGTTGGCATTCTTTTTGTATGATTTTATCAATTTCCCTAACAGCATCATGTCCAGCACGATCATCTCCTCCCTGGTTACAGATCACAATGTCCGGACAACTGCTATTTGGCAGGTTATTTTGGCAGTCTTGCCAGTTCCCGGCGTTGTATTGGGGGCCTGGCTTACCAATGCGATTGGACGTCGCTGGACGGGAATTTTGGGTTTTTCTGGATATGTTGTGCTTGGTTTCGTTATCGGTGGCACGTACTCGAAGCTTTCTCAAAACATTGCGGCTTTTGTTGTCCTGTATGGTCTGTTGCAAGCTTTTGGCCATATGGGACCCGGTGCTACCATTGGGCTTATATCTTCCGAATCTTTCCCTACTGCCATGCGGTCCATGGGATATGGTGTCGCGACAGCCTTCGGTAGAACGGGTGCTGCTGTTGGTACTCAGTGCTTTACCCCCCTACAGGACCGTGCTGGCAACAGCTCTACCTTTTACTTGGCGGGTGGCATCGCTATCCTTGGCATGATGGTCTACTACTTGTTACCTGAAAGTGGAGATTTGGATTTGGAGAAAGAGGACAAGGAGCTCAACGAGTTTCTTATGCAGCACGGATTTACGACTGATGCGAAGGAGCCATTGTGAAGTTTTACTGTCCATAGGAGATTTCGCTATATTTATAGAGCAACTTGGTATTTAGTGAGCAGGACCCTAAGCGGTCAAACGACTGATAGAACGCAGACGGACAGAGGCTGCGCTTCAGAGATTTGACCAGATCTTTCCCTCATGAATAGGCAGGAATCCCCACCGTAATAGAGCCACTGCCAGCTCAAAAAGCAGGTCATTTATACACACCATCAGCAATGGGTGGGGCCTAAGCCAGCTAAGTGACACCCGGACCTATCGCCTACAATAGAAGCATGATTCCCGACTATCTGTAGGCATCCACGATGTTTATGCTTTTAGACGTTGTCTCCTCGGCGGATGTTCCCGACAATGGGACGGAGGCCCGCCTTATCGGGAATAACAACACCACTAGTAGTCCCTGGGTGATAGTCGGAAACGGGACCGATGATCCTATGGTACGGGTGGCAACCTACATGGCAAATCTCGGAGTGGACACGTTCACCGCGGGCATACACAGCAACTGGGAGGGGTCGGAGCCCACTATGTCCTGGAGCCAACTCATGCGGCGCTACGACACCGAAAGTATGCGTACCCAGCTGGGTGTAGTCCGACCCGGTCAGCCACTAAACCACCGGGGCGTGCTCGCTCTCGGCCCCCGCTCGGATTGGCAATCCTTGTTCTCCGATCCAGTGATCCCCACCTCCATTTTGAATGTCTCCGATACAAAGCCGCTCAAATTCCGGTCTCCTCGCGCTTCCAAGGCATGGTCCTTCAAGGAAGAATGCAGAACGAGGGCACAATCATGGTTGACCCGGGCATTATACTGTCTCGGGACTCGCTCCCGGGTATCTACATCGTGCATGAGTCGTATACCAGTCTTTTCTAGGACACGTTAGAGCAAACCAAAAGCCCCGCCGTAGCTCTACAGACGCTCCTCACGATTCTCACCCAGATGGTCTATTACGAGAAGCTGCTGCGACTCAATGGAACCGGGCGTGCCGACCGCCTTCTCGGACGCGACGCTGATTCCGACTCAATTGATAGGGTTTGGGGTAGGGATGGGGTTGCTATTTAGTCACTGGGTGGTGATGGCCATTGTTGTGGGGCTGTTTGTCCGATACACGCGCCATTCTTCGTTAGGGAATCACTGGCAGGCGGTTTCACATGTGTACTCGAAGGACACGGTGGCAGTTCTAGAGATGGCTGATCAGATGAAGGATCAGGAGGTCGAGCGTTGGGTCAAGCGCAAAGAGCGTGGGGAAGAGCTCTACAGTGTTGCGCTTGATGAAGGGGATGCGGAGCGGGTGGCGCTGCCGGCTAAACATTCGGATTCGCCCCCGCGGCCTTCACTTTGCGGGTGCCTATTGGCGGGGACTTCTCCACGTTATATTTAAGCTTATTTATATGCTTGTAACTTACCTTAGTCTATAGGGTTATGACGTAATATATCATTGAAGATGAATATCTCTTGGGACCTACCTACACGATTTCCATCATTTTCACTTCATAATCTCTGATTCTATGAAAAACGATATGTATGAGGCATCCCGCCCCTGTAAAAGATAACTCCTTACTTAAGTCAATGAGAATCAATCAGATAATCACATATCTCAACAGATTTGAATACGATTCGATTCGCTGAAATTCGCGAGCTTCGAACAGTTCAAACATTACATGGCGGCCTACTCCATGTCCACAAGCTTTTCCTAAAGCCGCACAGAGTGGCATCATATCTTAGCTATTGTCTTACTGCATAAAGGATTACGATTATCCTTTTGTATATATCAACTCTCATCTGCAGGTTGTTTTCGGCATAAGACAGGGATCAACGAAGCATAGTATGCATTCTTCTGTTTTCCAGAAAGCATTACACCCGAAGACGAAAAACTAGGACGATACGTCGCTGCCATTCCAAGCTTGATGCTTTTCATCGCCTACACGAACGACATCCTCTCTTTCTACAAGGAGAATATCAAAAGCAACGACCATACAAGCATTATCCGGACCTATTCCAAAATTCACAGCTTAACGCTTGCACAGTCGCTTAATAAATTCAAGAAAGATGCTGTCGGAGCGATGGAGAATGTTCGCAGTGTTTGTGCGGGTGATCCTGTCCTGCTTGACTGTGTCAACCAATTTTCAAATGGCTTCATTTATTGGCATTTAGTTATCGGAAGGTATCAACTAGAAGAACTTGATATCTGCTACTGTGACACGGATTCTGTCTACTTAGACTTATTGGCTTATAAGTTAGTGATATGCCTGTGGTTTCGTGAGTATTTTTTTGTTTCTCTGTCCGTTAAGCAGCATCATTCGGGCAATTAACTAACAACCTCTAGCGCATGGAGCGGTAATTGACTCTAGCACGTAATAGGCCACATTGGAGACCACATTTCTTACATTTTTGTATGTAATTCTCCTTGCTGACAAATGATGGAGCCTCATTTCAGCTCCCTAAAACATTCATGTGTTAAGGGGTCCTAGTTATCAGTCCGTGACACCATGGTGTTCCAAACTAGCAGCCATCCTTCTAAAACTCTCGGGCAAGGTAATTGAGTGCTTTTTCATTCTTGTTTGCAAGACAGGATCTCCTATATTAACCAATTTATCACATCGGGTGTTTCAGAGCGAACCTTTCATACAACAGAGAATGACATGTAGTTTCAAAAGTTCGATAAGCCCAATAAAGCGAAGCAAAAAGGCGGTCTGATTAGCCTTCCATGCAGCTCTTCGTATCCCGGAAATTGGAACCAAAAGTATACATGTACATATGTACGGATATTAAGTTCAACCGATATGCTCTTCAATGTTGTCAACAAAGCAAGAAGCACACATGATGATGTCAAGAAATACGCAATCCTATTCCATGGCACTAAGGCTTCGATGTTAATTTGTTCCTCCCAATCTTCGTCATGCAAAGGCCTGTGCTTCGGCATAGAACAGCTGATATTTATATGAAATATTGCTATAAAAGCATAGTAAGGGTGTATGACATCTCTAGATAGGCACAAACGTTCTCGTGCCATTCTAGCTGCTTCAAAGGGTCTAACACAGGGCTGTAGGCAGAAGCTACTTGAAAATACGGTTTCAGGCTCGTCATACAAATTCTGATATCCATTAGTTCAAGATCAGCATGCTGTGATATCAGCCTTCCCTTCTGGGAGAAAGGCACATATAGAAGAACTTTCAAAAGTGGATATAAGTGAGACAATTGAACTTTACATTAGTCAATCTACACATTCCTCTAGCTTGCATAGTGCTACAATAGCTGAGCTGCCTGGCGTAACCATGAACCCTAAGTCCTTGCGGAAATGTAGATCTTCAGCATCCAGAGCAGATGTATTATTATATAAGTTACCCAACTTAGCTACATCGAGAGAGGTAAATTTGCTATCTGCCCCAGGAAAACTATAAGAAACGAAATCTACGAGAAAATGACCGGAGAAGAACTGTACTTGTTCAACAGTCGCGATCAGACGGAGTCAGATCGGTAAGGCACAGATCTCGCTTCATCTTGGTGATTGTTCAACTAACTAACCGCGTAGGCTGAACACACAACACAAGGTCCTAGCGGGCTTTATGGGCTACAAGTTGCTTCACCCATCCATCGATTTGAGTGGGAAAGGCGCTCTGAGAGTGGCTGATGTTGGTACCGGCACCGGGTAAGTTCTCAATTCACAAATTCCAAGGTGTATATGGGTCTAAAGAAGTATTAGGATTTGGCTCAAAGAGCTGTCGCCTTTCTTGCAGTCTTTTCCTGACGGTCGATCACACTACCTCCACGGCTTTGATATCTCCAATGACCAATTTCCTGTCGACACAAACGATATCAGTTTCTCCACCCATGATTCCACCAAGTGCTTCCCTGAAGAGCACTTGAATTCGTATGACATTGTTCACCTCAGGCTACTGGTACTTGCACTACCAGAGCCAGACATCCGAAAGGTTATGGAAAATGTCGTCCAGCTTTTACGTGAGTCCATATACATTCACTTGAATAAAAGTTGCACCAGCAGGGCAATATAAAAAACCCTAAGCGAAAGAAAAAAAAAAAAAAAAAAAAACAGACTCCGCGTATCCACCTAGCTGACAGTATCACTCGCTAAAGGCCCTGGCGGGTATCTCCAATGGGAGGACACCGACTGGTGCTATACAGGACCCGATCGGCCGGCCCCAACAATTACCAAGATCCTTGATATGGTGGTTGAATATTCCATCCAAGTTGGATTTTCTATGCGCATTTCGGAATGTCTCATGGATCAGGGGAAACGGCTTGATCTCCAGTCACTCAATCGATTTGTATATGACACCCTCGAAAATCCGGAATGCTACACTGATGTGAAGTCATGGTTTAGCCAGCTGCTTCGGGCGTTGTTGCCAGTGACACTGATACGAACCGGGCAGGCAGCAAATGAGTCGGTAGCCCAAGCACTGACATGCCGAATGCTGGAAGATGTTGAATCGGAGTATTCCCAAGGAGTTATTCCTAGATTTCGAATGATGGCGGTTGTGGGAAGGAGAACCTCTGAATCCGTGTGAAGGGTTTACCGGGGTCGGAATACAGATACAGGTGACTAGCTGCTAGTTGGCATGTCCGTAAAACATCTTATCAACTTCTTTCGGATTTTGCACCTTTTCTACAGTGCAGTGCGGGGTAGAGTCATGCTTTTTGCCCTATAACTGCACCTGGGCATATCAGTTAAGAAAATACTCTCATTTGTGATGATCTAGAGGAGTTGAACGTAGGTTCTGTCGATCCCCACCGCCTAACGGGTTAGGGAACGTGTTTGTATTGTTTGGCTACGACTAGATCCTACAAAGGATCTTATCTTATAGATTCTTTCTCTCTTTTTCCTTTTATTCCCTATACTTTGTGTTTTTGTTGAAATATACTCTTTTTCTTAAAGAAACAGCTAGTAATATAATACTAAGTACTATCCTTATTTCTAAAAGTAGTATGACTATAGTTATAACTAGACTAGTTACTATAACTAGTTAGTCTCGGTCACTGTAATGGATAATCCATACAAACCACAGAAGTGGATCTCGGTCAGTGTCACATTCATGGGAGAAATGTTGGGTATAGTGGAAACTCTGGTATGATAACCTGTTCGGTCATCATAAGTGGTCTTTTTGGTAAATGCTTGTACATGTGGTTTATTTATCATGAAGAGTACATATCTTTGGCAGAGAATTTGGTCCAGAGCCCAGATTCCCTTACAGTCACGCTTGTCCTACTTTCGTTCTTTAGCCATGGATATATATGTTGTATATATCCCCGAGGTACATCCAAATATAGCAAACCCTAAAATCCCAAATCTGGTTTCGCGGGGATGATGACTTCACCAGGAACTACGTAGCCACCCACTTCATTCTCCACTATCATGATGTCATGTTTTATTTTGGAGAGATGATGATCTGAGTTTGATATTGTTTATTTGGATTCTGTACAAACGCAGGCAGTAGGTTTAGCTTGTACTTTGGAGTTGTAAAGGTGACATTTTTGGATTTTTTTCTCTTCATTTCAAAACGGGTTGTATATACACAAGTGCTAAGTCGACTTTACCCCAGAAGAGGAAATTGGCGAACAGCAAAAAAAAAAAAAAAAAGTTAAATCTCCAGCTCATCCTCAGGAACAAACGACTCCCGTCATAACGGTCATGATGAAGGGGAACATCGGCGTTGGCAGACGCCTATTAGGACGGACTTTCTAGTCGGTGGAAATTCTCTAAATATGTATAAATGGAAACGCTTGTCCAGATGTCCCCCTCGAAAAAAAAAAACAATCCGGGTATCCAAGAGAGGATATGTGTGATAGCCGGTTGATATGATCTTTTCATGTAAACCCCCTCCTCTCTCTTGCTTCTTGCGCGTGCGTATGTATCGTGCATGGGATGAGATGCATAAATTAGGCCACGAGGTCGATAAACCAGTTAGGGTCATCTCAAAGGAAATATATGTATAAAAGTGTGTTTATTCGTCGTCATTGTGTTCCTCTCTGTCCTCGTCGGCCATCCAGCCGCGCGACATCTCCACGGCCTTGGACCACTTTTTATACATGCGGCTGCTGGCTTTGACGGACATCGCGGGGGTGAACGAGGCTCGGTTGGCGCGGTTCATATGCTTAAGTTCGGAGAAATCCTTCCAGATGTTGATGGCGAAGCCGGCGGCGATGGCGGCACCGAGGGCAGTGGTTTCGTGCATTGAGGGACGTTCGACGGGGATTTGAATAATATCGGCTTGGGTCTAATACGGAGGTAACGGTTAGCGAGATGAGCTGGGGACATTAGGAAGGAAAACTTTGGAACGTACCTGCATGCAAACGTCGGAGTTACTCATGCCGCCGTCAACAGCCAGTTCTGTCAGGCTCTTACCGCTGTCCATTGCCATGGCATCGAGAATAGCTTTCGTTTGGAAGCAGGCCGCTTCCATGGTTGCACGGGCAATGTGTCCCTTTTGTGTGTGGGCGGTGATTCCCCCTGGGAGGTGTTAGCGATAAGGTTCTGTAAGGCGAAGCACCGTGTTGGAGACTTACAGATAGTTCCCTGGGCATCATCGATCCAGTAAGGAGCAAAGAGACCACTGAACGCAGTGACGAAAATACAGCCTCCGTTATCCGGCACGCTGGCGGCCAAATCGCTGACCTTCCGCGAGTCGCGGAAGAAGCCGAGGTTATTCATTAGGAAAGACACACCACTACCCGCCACGGCCACACTGCCTTCCAGTGCGTAGACGGCCTTGCGGTCTCGCCCTAATTGGAAACCGACTGTGCCCAAGAGACCGTGCTTCGAGATAACCGGCTTCTCGCCCACGTTGTAAAGAAGGAAGCATCCGGTGCCGTAAGTGTTCTTTGCCATCCCTGGAGAAAAGGCACAGTGGCCGACCAAGGCCGAAGCCTGGTCACCTAGACAGCTGGTAATGGGAACACCCTCCAGCGGCCCTTCGGCAACTTTACCGAAACCCTCAGGATCGGCCGAGGGAAGAATCTCGGGTAGACGGATCTTGGTTGGGTCAATGTCAAAGAACTTTAAGAGGCGATCGTCGTATTGGAGGGTTTCGAGGTTCATGAACATGGTTCGTGAGGCATTGGTCACATCCGTAACCAGGCGCTTGTTCTGAGGACCACCATTCAGGTTGTAGATGAGCCAGCTGTCGACGGTTCCGAATGCAGCCCGGCCATCATCATAAGCCGATTTGACATCGGGCAGATGGTCGAGCATCCATCGTAGTGTGACAGATGAGGGGTATGTGGATAAGGGTAGGCCGCAAATATTACGGAGTTCGTCGGCGCCGGGCCTTTCCTTCAGTTCTCGTACCAGGTTGACGGTACGAGTATCGGTCCACGTGATTGCGTTGTGCAGGGGCTCGCCGGTCTCCCAGTCCCAAACCAAGGCAGTTTCTCTTTGACTGGTGATACCAATGGCTTCGATGTCGGATGTGGAATAACCAAGGGCAAGGAAGGATTTCATAGCCTCTTCGATACAGATATAGACCGATTCCACCAATTCGTAGGGGTCTTGTTCGTGCCATCTGTGGGGGGTGCGGGGCAATTAATATTGAGTTCGGGATTGCAACGGGAGGGGCTTTAACACCTACCCTGGGTGTTCATGAATCTGGTGGAATTCAGTTTGGTATTTGGCAACGGGAACGCCTGTGCAGTCGAAGATGATGAATCGTGTACTCGTTGTACCCTGATCAATGGTACCAATGAATCGACTCTTCATTTCATCCTCGTCCTCATCCTGCAGCAAAGAACGTTCTCCATCGTCTCTTTGTTTTGGACGATAGTCGAGGTTCAGTTGATCCCGTTGTTTGTCCTCCACATGCTGGTGCACATGTTCGGGGAGCTCGAAATCCTGGGCGGGCTCGGAGTCTCCGTCAACACTCTCAAAGTCCAAATCGAATGGGTTGCGCATCTTCCAAAATGTGTAGAGAGAGATGGGGAAAAGGAGGTATTAAGAGAGAGAGAGAGAGAGAGAGAGAGAGAGAGAGAGACCGGGTTTACTGTCCTCCAGGATTTAAAGAGGGGAATGACTGAGGGGAGAAGATAACTACGAGGTGGCGGTGTTGGGATACGGGGACCAGCTCCCGTGGCAGAAAAGTGGAGCGTGACGTATCAGAGAAGTGGCCAGGTATAAAAAGGTTGAAATATGGCAGTCCCTTTCACCGTTATCAAAATAAAAAAAAAAAAAAAAAATAGGTGAAATGGTAGAAATTGTTCGAATGGGGGAGGAGAGGTTGAGATGGTTGAGATGGTGAATGCGGAGGTCGAGTCGAGTATAAGAATAAGTATAAGGGTTGTGTGTAAGGAAGAGAAAACAGAACAGGAGAAACAAGAAGATCTCACAGAACAAAATCAGGGCAAGGCCTCTTTATCCAAAGGGGTGGACTCTCTTAGAAAAAGCCCAGGTGGGGGGGAGGAAAATGAGAAATCCGGTTCGGGGGATTTTTTTCTGATCAGAAGACCTCGTCACCTCCCCCACTATTTCCCTTTTTATGATATTTAGGAGTTAAGAACTATATGCTTAGGTATATATATATAAGTCATCTGATCTTGGATCAGATCCTTAATATATATCTTTCTATATACTTAATAGTTAATATATTCTATGTTCTATTATTTACTATCTAACCTACATCCTATCTATCTTATATATATACTGTATAACTATATACTCCGTACCATATAACTACTTACCCTCCAACCCCGTCTCTCCAAGCCTGGGCACTCCACAAGCCCCGTCGATCGTACACATGACACGGTCCATTTTTCCCCTGCGGTCCCTTTAGTCGTTCTAGAACCCCCTTTTTTTATTAGTCGACATTCTTTGCAGATTAGTTGAATCATTCCTATTCATGGAGAAAATCCGACTATCGGGAAGAATTAATGATTTTCTTTTAGCAATATCCTATGAGGGAAAGGAAAAAATAAAAATAAAAATAAAAAATAAAAAATAATAAGGAATGGGGATTCTCCATTTCTGGAGAACGGGCTCTAGTCGAGGCCAAGAACATTCGAGCGCATCAACCCCCTCCCCTCCGGGGAACTGCCTATGATCTTGACTCCCTACTTCCCGGGTCTCATTCTTATTGATCAAGATCCTTGTCTCTAGCATTGGTACATGGGCATTTATGCTTGATACAGCATAGTCAAAATCCATATTTAATTATAAATTATACAATATCAACCCCGGCGGAAAGATGACGTCTCCACTACCAGGTTGGTTCCCATGGAGAACCGGTCTTGTTAACCGGCTTAATTGCCCTATTAGAGACCATTATCTAAAGACGTGGAGAGAGGGGGAGGATCTGGTTAAACCTGCCAGGGACAAGGACGTGCGAGGCAAGTACTCCGTACAATTACTGATAGGAAAAAAAAATTAAGCAAAAAAATAAGCAAAAAAGAAAGAAAAAAAAGAAAAAGACACAAAAGGCCGATCTAGGTGGATTCTAGCATGTTTTCTGGCGCCATCGGACGTTACTATGTGTACCTCGCATGCAGGTCTCGGTTTACCTTCCCTAGGAACCGTTTTCAAAAA